GTGACTTTTCGCCTGTGGGAAAGTGATTGTAGGGTGGGAAATGATTCCTTATCTACTCGTAGAATTCGACGTGGACGCTTTTGGAGAAGATCCAGCACATATATGGTAATGATATCTCATTTTTTGGTGCCACTCTTCTCTTGTAAAGATAGAATATAGTAAAAAGAGTCAGCTACTTTCTGGAGAGCCGACCATTTTTCCATCCTCTTTAGCGATGGATCGTATATATGAGGTCCACTTCAGGACTCGATTGACCTTCAGTCCCAAGAGATGTTCAAAGCCTTGAGCCACGTTGAGTATGTAACCGTTCGTCGTGACTGGAGAAAATTCAGTGTCTGTTCGGGGAAGATGAAACGTAAGTAACTTGATTTGGGGGTTATCCGGATCGACATACACTTGATGAAGACCGAAGAGCACAACGACCGAAGAGTTGTGATAATAACAAGCAGAGGACTATAGTCCGTATTTCCTTCGTATTCCAGAGATCTAAGTTCCACTCGTGTAACTTCTTCTCACGAACCGCTTTTTTTATGGAACCGACTCCCAGGTGGATGCTTCCTCGTTCACTACAATCATAACCTGTTTAAGTCTAGGGTTAAGCTTTATGTTCCCAGCATATCCGCATAAACATTTCAGGAGAAAATTCAGTGTCGCCTAGAGGATGATGAAACGTAACCAGCTGAGTCAAAAGAGAGATCAGTTGCCCGGCTCAGGTCATCGAGATTTTTGGAGAACTCCTCATGAACTGTTCTATCATTTGCATGGGCAATTAATAAGGACCTGAGTGCGTTATTAATAAGATCGTTAATAGAAGACAGAAAGATTATTTAAAGCTGAAACAGATTTTGTATTGAAAAAGGCTACTTAGAGTACCCTATGTTCACAAATAGTCTCTCATTTAAGTAGTGGCCGGGTGTCTTGAGCCGGGGAAATGTTTATAGATTGAAATATAAAAAAAAAAAAAACAATACCTCTACATGAAGCAAGTAAATGCTTACAGACTCAAATATAAACGACCAATATGTACCTCTACCTGAATCGTGTAGATGCTTACAGGCTCAACCATAAATGACTAAAATATATATGGCCCTGAAGCAAGTAAATGCTTGTAGAATAAATTTAATTAAAAAAGACTGACTTCGATATTATATAACCCAACAAGCGTTGGCATGTTTAAAAATCAACCAACCTCACCCCTAAAACTTGTTAAATACCTTTCCACATAAAATATCAACCTCCAAATTTAATTATATATATATATATATATATATATATATATATATATATATATATATATATATATATATAATTGGTTCTCGTCCGTATGTGTACGTGCAAGTATTTATCTTGCATTAATAGCTTGTATTAACAATTTGCACTCTCCTTTCGTTCAAAATTAGAATTCACAGAGTGAGCGGCCGGGCTTTTGCAGGCCAAAAGTGAAAAACACAAACGGTTCTACAATCTTTTCTGTCTCTTATTAACGGGCTGATTAATAACGCACTCAGACCCTTATCAATTGCCCATACAACTGATAGAACAGTTCCTGAACAGTTCAAAATATATTGCTGGCAATAATATTTTACAAAAATATATTGCTGGCAATAATATTTTACAAAAATGTATTGCTGGCAATAATATTTTACAAAAATGTATTGCTGGCAATAATATTTTACAAAAATGTATAGCTGGTACTAAAATCTATTTTTACACTTTTATAGTGTTTTAACCTCAGTTTGGGGGTTAACTATTTTCCCATAGCTGGGACCCTAACAGGTGCTACCACCCCGGCTCAGAGTCGACCTGGGAACACTAGCAATTAAGAGGTGGTTCCACGCTCCTCAAAACCTTCTTAACCAGGATGCGGATTTAGTTTATCGTCATACCCAGAACGGACAACTATTTATTCCCGTGGAAACTATAAAATTTTCAGGGAGATAAATAAAACCTGTTTATAGAATTATTTTTTTCCCCTGTGCAGTGGGTATCATTTGCTATATGCACGGTGCTCGAAATAACATGTACTCACTTTTTGACTTTTAATACCTTATTGGATTTTTTTCTGATCCAATGAACTTCCTGCAGAAGTAAGGCTAAGTGTTTTTTAAGACAGGAAATTGGTCATAATGTGTTTCTGGAAGCACAAAAACAAAACAGGTTGCCAACCAACCCTAAAGAGCCTAGTGTATCCTGCTATTCAACGCCTTAAATAGATTTCTACTAGTATATTTCAGATGACTTCTGTTAAGTTTCTGTGTGTCTTTAAATGGGTTCTGATCGAGCTGTGGCCGGTTAGGTGCAATGTAAGTCGTCTGGATAGGTATGTAATAGTGTGACCAATGTAATTATTTATGACTTCGGTTTGGTCAGGAACACAGTTCCTAAACTATACAAGTTCTGTTAAAGACGACTTACAAGGTGCTGAGAACTAGCTTTTTATTCAATTTTTCTTGTGTTCGTATGATTTCTATTATAGACATAAAGTATGTAAAAACAATCTAAATGTTTCAAATATCTGTTACTCATAATTAAGTATTTTTTGTAATTATCTTTAACTAAATGAGTACATTCTTATATATGTATATCTATAATTATGGGAATGTTTTTTTTTATATTTCCTTCATTATAGACAGACATACTCAGTTAAGTAAAAAATCCTTGATAATGGCTAATAGAATAGACAAAATCTTTGGGATATATAGGATATTCGGACAGTTTCTACACACTTTGTGTCCAGAAAAGAAATCACTTATATGAATATTAGATATGATAATTTAATGATTATTAATTTAAATGATATTTGCACGCATGGTCTTCCTTAGTGAAAATCACCAATCGTTTAAAATGATCAAAACGTTACGTAAGCATCAGCCATAGAAATGGTAAAGTGTTGATTGTCTTCGGAAAAAATATTTTTG